GCTTGCTTTGTGGTTTTGGTCGGAAAAGTGGTGAAGGGTTAAAGCCAAGTGTTAGCAGCCTCCGACTAAGATTCAAGACTGAATTCCTGCCCTTATTCATCTGAAGAATTTTTATTTTTGCATTTGATTCCACTGCAACTAAAATTTCATCTCTGCTTTCTCCCCTGAGATGTTATGCTGGTGGTCAGTGTCTGGAGTTGGACTTTTTCAGAGAAGTGACAGTTAGGCTAACTTTGCTTTCTGATGATACGACTTGAGAAGTTGGAGGCAAAGTCACCAGAACTTCTGTTTAAAAAAAAAAAAAATTCTCTTTAATATTATATGTGATAGCCTAGCAAAACCCCTCCTGGAACAACATGAAGCACTGGTATCTGGCTGATGCAGCTCACTATCACACTTGGCTAGCACAGTGTTTTAGCAAAATAGAAGTTGGGCATAAAACACATCTGGGTTAGTGCATCCTTAGTTTACTTCATCTTCTTGAGACTTTCTCATCTGGTCACCAAGTCATCTGCCTTTGGTGGTTTGCTGTGTAGCAACCTGAGATCTGTTGCTGTGGTCTCTTATCATCCCAAGGTTTTTTGTTTGTATGCAGTCAACTCTGAATGCACACTAACAGCACAATATGTATTAACATTAACGTTTGAAATGTTTGAGTTGCCATGATTCTCGATGCACTTCTGAATGTGTGGAAAAACAATAGCAGAGAAAGCTGGGATTGTTTCTGCACAAATGTTTGAAGCTTGCTTAGTTTCACTCATGATGATGAGAAATGAAAAGATTTGAATGTTGGATGGCATCTCTCTGAGTATAATCATAGATGGCAGCATAAATGAATTTCTGGCAGATGTTCTCATATCAGCAGCACTAGCAGTTATTAGCAGGGTTTGGCAATCTAGACCTTTGTTAATAAGTACCAGTGCAGTACTGACAAGCACTAACATCATCATCTTTTAAACATCTATGGAGTAGATAAAGTATAGTAGACTCTCCTCAGAGAAAGTTGTGGAGAGTCCTTACCTCTGTGGAACTCAAATCAAAATAGTAATCAACACTTGAACTAATTGAAACCTTTTTGGTGTTGGCTGGAGACACCTAGCTGGACTTACTGATGTGCATCACATGCTGATGTGGTGACATCCAGGTATTACAAACTGCTTCGAGCAGTCTGGGTGCACTTTGTTCTTTATGCAGAAGTCTCTTGACAGCAGTGTGTTTAGTAGCTGGGAAATTGCTTCCCACTCATAAGACCCTGCAGTAGAGGTCAGGGGATGCTGAAACATTCCTGTGATGTTTAATGGCAACAGGAAACCTGAACTCCATGTAAGGTACACAGGAAAGGGCAGTTGGACTTAGGGAAGAGTTTAAATGACTAGTATCGCTGACTTTGATTTTTCACTAATCTTAGGGATGTCAAACCTTTCCTCATAAGCAAGCACTTTTTAATCTGTGGACTACGAAGACCTCAGTATTTCTGAAAACTTTCCATAAGTCTCTGAGAAGTAACTGCAGTCAAATTAACAGTCAGGCTTTAAGATTAAATGAATTCTTGTGAAACTACATTGGTGGAAATCCTGTGGGTTTTTCACCTACCGTTTGCCTGCTCATATGGACACTTTTGCTTACTTACATTCTCAAAAGTGCCTTGCCATTTGGTGATGCCATCACTGCTCCTGCCCTTTGTCTGTGTGGGCTTCACATATGCTGGCTTTGAATCTGGATGGATTCTAACTTTATATACACACCCAAACCCAGAATAAAAACAAAACATTGAGGTTTCCCTATCGTGCAGCAGCAAGCTGCCTCCTAATACTGTGGACACACCCAAGGGAATGGAAGGAGGTCTAGATCATGGGAGGGTGGTCAGTGACCTTGATGCAACCTGGTGTTGTAATTGCTGTTCTAGGCAAAATGACCAAAACTTAGTCTCATGCCTGGGCTCATTCAGTCCGATAGGTGAGAGCTGAGGAAAATGTGTTCCTGAGGCACCCCTTAGCTCAGAGTAGCTTTCTCTTGTTTTGTCATGTGTATTTTTAACAGTCCAGGGCCTGCCCTTTGGCCAAGAAGGCAAGCAGCAGAGCACAGTTTCATGCGTACAGCCAAACTTTCTCCTTCTGACATCCCAAACAGGGGTGGGCATGCTTCCAAAAATTTCTGCAGAGAATCAAAACAGAGATGCCATTAACATGCAGAATTTGTTGGTTACACCTTATTGCAGTTTTCAGTTTGCACACTAGTTCTTTGTCCTTTTGCTTATCTTTAACTTTCAAGATATAGTTCTTTACTAGCACAATGTCCTAGGATTAGTGTAGATTCTAATTTTTTTCCTAATTCAGTGCAATCAAGGAGTTATGCCTGAGACTGGAGTCCTGAGTCCTCAGATCCGTATTCAGTTTACTCTTTTTTTTTTTTTTTTTTGTCATATAACTCTTTGAAACTTTTTACTCAAACCATTCAAGTACTTCATCTCTTAAGAAACAGACCTCAGATATGGGTGCCCAATGTTGAAATGAAAGGGTTTGTTCTAGGAAAGGAAATTTCAAATGTTATGTAATTTGACTTTTCTAACACTTCCCTTCACTGCTTATTGCCTAGTAAAACTTATACCCGTGTATCCTAAAACTGTGACTATGGGCAACAGCGTTTTTCTAGGTAAGCTAATCCTCATCAGTTAATTTGGGTTACTGGGCTTGTTCCTATCATAAGTGAAGTCCATAGTTGTAAAGCCTTCAAGTTTCTTTGGCGAAACCGTGGCCTGTGCGGGTCTAGCAAGTATATGGCTAATATCACAGCAAAATGTTGTCCAGATAACTTCTGAACAAGATAACTCAGCTGCTGGAATGATGTTAGCATGGCAGAAGGGTCAAAGTGGGTTTGCACTGTGTCATGGTGGTAGCATTCATTCTTAACTTAGCTCAGTGCTCCTGGTTTGGATGTCTGCACAGGCATTGAGGAAAGTCTTTCTAGCTGAACTACTAGTTGACTCTTCCGCTCAATGGAAAGACTATGCTAGCTTTGCAGACAGACTATAGGGATGTTTTGTGACAACCACTTTTGCAGACCAGCTCTGTTAATACAGGAGTTCAGGGATCTTACAGGCCAAAATTTGACTATTGAGTTTATTAAAATGGCAAGTTTTTTGAACAATCCTTACTGTTATTAGTCTGCTGTTACATTTCTTTCCTTGAAGTAAGCTTGAGTGAGACTATTTGGTGATGACTATATATACAAGCCCTACCTGAAGGGAGCTCTCTAGACTTGAAACTCTCACGAGTAGAAATGGCATGTACTATCCCAGTATGAGGCTACTTGTGGCAATAAGCGTGGTTATGGCCGGTTTAATTTCTTTAATAAAATCATGCCTGGTGTGTTTTTAGCTATCCTTAGTCCTTGTGCCCAGAGATGAAGTATTAAGACCTATCCCTGTAAACTAGAATCGATCCCCATCAAAATTTTCTTCCATTTTTTTCTCCTGTGTGCTGTGGCTTATCTAGGGCTGCTTGTACCTTAGACTAGAAGATAAACCTGATTTCCTTATGGCTTGAACACCCAGCATTAGGGTTGATGCTCACTTGTGTGTTCTTTTTTTAAACAGGTTTTCACTGACTACTTTCTTGCATAACAGCTGTGAGACTGAGCCATGGTAACAGGTTTTGGAGCATCATTAGAGATAAGAACCATTTTCTTGAACCTTGAACCCTGTTGTATAACTACAAGCAATAAATCTGGAGTATTTAGTTCTAATGGAAATGAACAACTATATGAAAACATTAAGAATAACTTTACACAGCCTGAGGTCTGAGAATGCCACACTGCAAGTGCTTCTATGTGTCACAGAGTAATGGGGATTTTCTTTAAAGGGTTCTTGGTTTGCATCCTGATTTCAGTAATTTTCTATCTCTTTTGGGCAGCCCTCACTGCTTTTTCTTCCTTATGCCTCCATTAATCTTTGATGTCCCTTTTGCATCTACTTCATCCTTGCTGCTTGCTTACTGTAGGTTTTCAGTGCCTCTGTGCCCCCACAAAAGCAACAGCTGTGGTGTTACTGCTCCTGGCAGAAGTGGAGTAGTGTCATGACACTTGGGAAGGGGGTTGGTGGGTGGAGGGGAGGATACGTGTGGGATTTGTGCTGCTGAGCCACTGATAACAAGCTCCTCTCACGGAGCATGGAGAGACTCCAACCCTCTCCCTTGGGCACCCTGTCCCCCTCTGCCACGCTTACCTTTCCTTGTATCCTGCTGATGGGCCTCCTGTGGCCCCAGCACCCTGCTGGTGTGTGATCAGCTTCTCCTCCCACTGTCCATGCTTAAATCTTGTTCTTATATGTAGCCTGCTTTGCAGAGTGACTAGGCCATCAACGCAGTAGGTAAGGAAGACCATTTTGCCACGGTCCTGGGAACAGACTGATCTCTAAATAGTACTTTACTTCATCAGGCCATACTTTGTAGCTGAGCCCCAAAGCTGCTTTTCTTTCTCCAGCTATATCAGATATCTAATAAAAGATACATCTATGCAAAATATCCTTGCTTGTACTAGCATGTTAGTAGGAACACTCAAAGTTTCCTAAGCTGTACATGAAGTTAAAATAAAAGTGGTGAGTTGCTCTTACTCTAAGTAGGGTTTACTGTCTAACCAATCCTATGATGTCACCTTGCTGGGGGTCTTCCCACTTCAATTTGAGTGCAAAAATGGTTGCCGCGAACATGTAATTGAACTTGCTTTGTTAAGATATACTATTGTTTAAAGAGGTTGAAAGGGGAGAAATTCAGCTTTCGCCTCCTGTTTTTAGCTATGAAGTCTGTTTGCAGGTAGCTAAGAAATGGTCAAGATGATAGTGCTTTTGATGGTAATCAAGGGTATGATGTGCTCTGTCACAGCACATACACAGACTGTACAAGGTGCAGAAGACAGTCTCTGGCTATCACAAAAAAACACTTCTATAACAGAGTTCAAAGGTACATATTGGTGCTTAATAGACATAATATCTCGCCTTCTTTCAGGGAAAGAATGTACTCAAGATGAAAGCACAGCTGCAGCTATCTTTGCTGTTCAGATGGATGACTACTTAGGAGGAAAACCTGTGCAGAGTAGAGAAATTCAAGGATATGAGTCTACTGAATTTGTGGGATATTTCAAAGGAGGAATTAAGTACAAGGTAAAGAGCTAGCTGAGAAAATGTACTCTAAAAACATGTAACTGTCCCCCAAAGTAGAAACAAATATTTACTGGACTAAAAAATTTGTGTTTTATGTTACCGAATGTTTGAGAAACTGTTTCTTAATCCTTAGTGGTATTAGATCTGTGCTAAACTGAGTGCAGTACTTGCACAGAGTGCATCAGTTCGTTTACCAATGCCTTTGCTGTTAACTGTAAACCCGACCCAAATGTTTCCCCACAGTTAAGCTACCCTAAGATTTCATACTTGTCATTAAGGGAGCTCACAGTTGGGACTGCCGGTGTTTAGGAGGTAATAAATCTCAAAGAAGCCATTTCTATGCAATGGACTAGATTGTGTTCAAATCCGGAATCCAGTATGCTTAAGTGGTTAGATATGAACAGAGTGGAAGAGGCAGAGACATCCTTGTTTTGCTCAAAAAATTCTATACAGCTTATGCTGTAAAGAATAACTTTTCAAGCCCTACTACTTATCTTGATCCTTGAGATAGCTAACAAAAAACCCAAGAACTTTTCATGAAGACCTTTTGTATTTTAAAAAGTTGACATTCAGCCAGCTCTAATATATTTCCTCACCTGGTCTGGTGTTCTTGCTTGGTTGCCTGCTAAGAAGCAAATACTCATTTCAGGAAATTTCAGAACTGCTATGGAATTACCCTTCCCTTTAGACGTAACCAGACATTAAAACTGTCCAAACGACTGAGATTTAAGGAAGTTGGAAAATCCACACAGGAACTGCATATTCTTTTGCTTTCCACCAGTTCCTATTCAGTAACCCACTCACTTCTGTCCTAACACTGGTTCAACATTACTTAGGATGGTACAGGGGAGAGTGCAGTAAATCCTGCGCTTCCCCTTTTCCACTTGCACAAAACACTTAAAGGCAGGATGATGTCCAATAAAGGCTCACAACACGAGAGGCTTCAGCTGCAGAAGTGTTCATGTCTGTCTGGTCTGTGGTCAGCATTTGTTCTGGTTTATCTCTCACTGCCTAACCTTTTTAGCTAGTTTCTCAGCTGCAGCAAAAAGGTAAGTTTGCAGAAACCAGGCTGAAGTGAAGCTTGCTGCTTTGTTTTCATTCAGGCAGGCGGTGTTGCCTCCGGATTTAAGCATGTTATTACTAATGATCTGAGCGCCCAGAGGCTTCTGCATATCAAGGGCCGGAGAGTAGTACGAGCCACTGAAGTTCCCCTTGCTTGGACCAGCTTCAACAAAGGAGATTGTTTCATTATTGACCTTGGAACCGTAAGTCTTTCACAGAGCAATAAGCACTGAAAAGTAAGCTACAGCATCTTTTCTAAGGCTTGAACTATGCCCTAAAATGTCTTGACAACTGATTTGTCACTCACTCAAACTGACTGAAAGACTGCTTCAGAAATTAGTTTTAATACTGCTACATGTTTCAGGTTCAAAACCGCCCTTATGGTTTATGAAGTACACACATTACGCTTTAGGAAACAATTCTCTTCCACGCTCAAGGCATTGGGATTTTTTTTACCATTGATGTTGACACAAGAAGGCTTTATTCCTCTAGATCTTAAGCTGTTCACATGACGTCCTCTGGACTTTGGTGCTACCCACAAATTAATGGGCAAAAGATTAGTGTTAGGGTTCAGAATTGAACCCAGAAATTGGACTTTCTCAAAAGTTCAATATGAAAGTCAAGAGTTTACATGCAAGGTAGCAACTGTAGCTGGTCTTAACACTTACATTTCAAAAGGAAGTGGTCAGCTATTTAAGCAAGATTTGAGAAGAGTTCCCTGAAATGTTGAAGTTGTTCTAAACTCAAGTCAAATTTGACTTTTTTCTGAAAAACTTTCCCTGGTGTGACACTTGGATTGTGAGGGACTAGACCTTCTAGAACAGTGTCAGTTCCTAATTTGTGTGCATGTGTTTTGGTTTATGCTTCTTCCCTTACCTACTTAAGGGAGGATATTGGTATTTGGCAGCTATATTGATTACGTTTGCCAGACTTTTATCATGCTCAGCAATCTTCAGATTAGAAAACATTAGTTACTGTCCTCCTAATATCATTCAGCTCTTCCTGATCTGTGTGCTCTGAGCATCTGAAACAGCTCAGGGGATCAATATCCAAACCATTATCTCTGAATATGATGTCTATTAAGAATGCATAGAAGATCCAAATCCTCATCTCTGGGAGATTTGTGAAAGGAAGTAGGGAATACTGGAGCTACATGCTTGTAGAAAACGTTGCTTTTGAACTCAGGCTGTCACAAGGCTTGGTGGGTTTTTTTGTCCCCTTCCCTGTGGACACCCGGAGCCAGGTGTACACCATGACTTCCACTTGCCCTGACCCTTATTGAGCTCTGGTTACTCAGTTTGCATAAATTGATTGCTAAATCATGTTGCAGACATGGCAATGACACTCAAATGCGCTACAGCTATCTGGTGGTATTACATGTGTATCTTGGGATTTCTTCCTTTTGGTGCATGCTATTGGAGAGGAAAGCACTGTCATTAAGCAATTTAAATGTAAAATCGCATTAGTTTCTTGTCTTCTAATACTAAACGTACTTTGTGTGCTTTTCCTTTCTTATCATAACTGACTGGCTTCTGATTTCCTGTTTGACAAGACAGAGGTTAAGCAGCGATGTAAAAGAAAGATTAGATGGTAGAGATGCATGTGTTGCACCCATATGTTATGCTATGGGGAGTGTTGGTCAAATCACATGACTGAAAGTTTTGGGCTTGCTTTACTGCTGTTCTGAGGGATAGATTTTTCTTATATGTGTTAACAGTTTCAGGGCAGGGAACTCTTTCAGCACCCAGAAATTTGTAGTGATTTCTTCTTCATTTATTTTTTAAAAATAGAATTTCCTTTTTTGAGAGTTGAAAAGCAACTGTGTTGACATATTTCAAAATGATGTGCAAGTCTAGCTGAAGTGTCTATGGAGAAATAGGTGTTTAGAACTTGCTCAAGGTTTCCACTATGGCACTGTTTTCTGAGAACTATATTTTAGATTGAAATTTTCCATGACTAGAGCTCCTTTGAAAATGGGTAAGACATTAAAGGAGCTCTTAAACTTATGCTTCTTTAAAAATAAGGATTTTTAGCTCAAGGAGATGTCTTTACTCTAATAATTAAATAAAATGAATGTTCAGTAGGGTTGCTCTGAGCCTTGGGATTTATCATAGGGCACTACTGAACCATCAGCTGAGAATTATGGGCAGTAATGGCATGAATTAATGAGCTTATGGATAGTACTTCTAATATCAAATTATTGTAGCATATCAAATAAGATGAATTTCTAAGTACTTTTCCCAGTCCCTTAGCTAACCAGAGATGGTCTCCATGGCACTACGGAACTGCTCGTGCAGCCTATTTCCTGTTAATTTCATCAGACCAGTCATCTAATATAACAAGAAATCATTTGTTTTCCCATTGAGCTCAATTATTACAGTATTCTAAACTTGTGGTCTGAACAGATAACAGATAATTAAAAAAGCTAATAATTAGGAATAAAATGATGATTGGCCACTAAAGCTTCCTTTGGTGATAATTATCTAAGTACAAAAGCTTTTGTGTGCATTTCCAGCTAGCTTCAGATTTTTTGGGGTCTGATGTTTATCTCATAGCTAGATATGTTGTTTACAAAACCAAATTTACAGCACTCTGCCCAAATCCTTTCAAAACACTTGCCTACTTTCTACTTCCTAGACTGGAGTAGAAAATAGTAGCGGAGAGCACACTAGCTCTTGGGCACTGATCTGAGTCATTCTCTATCAGAAACACATAAAGACATCCTATCCAAATAGTCTTCTGTAAGCCCATGACACAAGCACTGTGACCAGCAGTTCCAACATTTCAGTGCAACGAGTGATTCATGAGGATGTCTGCGGTGTCAGACCCTGGGTTTTTTGTTTTTTTCAGCAAGGGATTTACATTCTATCTCTGCATTTGAATTTGGGAGTCCCCTTGTAAGGGAGATTTTTTTTGAGGGACAGGGCAAGCAACCTAAGTACAAAGTGGTTGCTGAGAAGGCTTTGTACAAGATCCGGAGTAAAGAGCCTAACACTGGGTGCTGCTTAGCATATCCTGTCCTGGTATAGATGTACTTGAGCCCTCCCAGAAGCCATGGTATCCTCCTGTGCTGCCCATCCCATCCATTTGGGCAGAGGCAAGTTCACTGGAGGGTGCAGAGCTCTTCCTTCCCTCCCACTGGGGAGGCACCAGGACATGTTTGGCAGCCTTGGCTGCTATAAACCGTTTGGCCCTGTTCTGTGTTGTCCCTCCGTACCTCTGGACACAGTTGCTTCTGTATCATTCATCTTCCAGCCACTTTCCCTTGGCTACATCCCTCTTTCTCCTCTATCACCAAGATGCTTTTTTGGAACACCAAGCAGTGGGAGAGGGCATGGAAAATGACTGGGGAAGGGAAAGAAGTCACTGTGGCATTCAGTGGATAATACTTTTTTCCAAGCTATTATTAGTATTAGCCAAAAGCATATTTTAATATAGCACATATATTTGATATGATATGCTAGACACTTGTCTTCTGTCACTTTTCTTAATTTAAAGAAGGGAGGAAAGTCCTCAGTATTGAGGGTCATCCTAGGTACACTAGTCTATGCTGGTAATGCATAAAATGTAGATATTGAGGGTCCCTAACATGGGAAGGGCTGAAAGACTCCAGTCAATGATAGACAGGGTAACTTTCAAAACATTGTAGCAGAAGCAAAGGGAGTAGCAGTATGATCACTTTTCAAGCAGTTTTATTAACTGACTTAAACTCTTCAGCTCATTTTGAAGAAAGCCTCTGAGGTAGGAAGGCCATCTAAAGTTATACCCTTGACCTGTAAAAATATTCTCTAGGCAGTTCAGATAGAAGTTAGTAAAGTGTAAGGCTTAATTCTGACTGTTTTACTTTCCTCTTGAGGAGAGGCAGCAACAGTGCTACTAGCCAAGAGACTGCAGAGGGCAGGAAGAAGGCTGCATATCACTTAGCTGCTGTAGGAAAATTGAGACAGTTGCTAAAAATAAGGGCATAGTACATAAGTACCAAGCGGTCCTCTGAGCTTGAGTCTGACCAATGCCAAAGTCTTGTCAGTACAAGCATAGTTCTGCTGAGAAAATCCTGTTTCCAATGGCAGTGGCTGTCAGGAATGCAGGCGGCTAGGTGGTAGCTGTACTGGAAGTTAAGTAGACACTGGAGGCAAACTGCACTCAGTTATCCATTCTTATTTCAAGGGTGGTGCTTCTAAACTGGTCTGTAAGTAGTTAAGAGGCTGCTGGATTGAAGTTTAAGAGCAAGCAAAGTGTGCTTAAGAAAATCAATTTGCTTTGCTGTACAGCAGTTGACATACATGACTTCTCGAGGATTCCATAAATCGCAAGTGAAAATCTTTGTCAGAAGACAAAGGTATGGGACTGAGTAAAGAGCTTTTATTACCATGTATTCATAGTGTGCTCCTACTTGAACGTCTCACATAATCTAGCATAACTTCAAGTGGAAGAAGAGATGGCTCTCATACAAGAACACTAGAAATACATCAAGCAGAAGGACTGGCTTTTATCACTTTTATCAACATTTAGACTAAAATAATTTTCTTATAATCATCATTTCTGTTTCTAACAGTAAAAGATCAAGAGTACAATACCCATAAGTAGTAATCATAAAACAGGTATGAGTCAATGTCATATTGCAGTTTTAAGTACAGTTGTAGTTTTGCTGCTTTCTGTAATCTCCTTTCTTGCTTGCACTATCTTTTCTGGGTGGTCTTCCTGTTACTTTGACAAAACCAGTTCACAATCACCATATTAATCACTTGATTTTAGAGTTACTATCTGGGAACAAACAGCACTGGAAGAATCTTGCATGTGGGGGGTCTATCACTGTAAGATTCTAGTTCTGTTTTTCTGACACTACCAACTAGCCAGCTGTGCTTGTTCTTGTTTCTCATTCATGTTTCTCCTACAACTAACCTCTTCCCCAGTCTCTCTCACCTGAAAGTTAGAGTATTGGTTATGCTGTAGCAGAGTTGCCAAACAAGCAGAGGAGCTTGCAGAACTAAATAGCTTTAGTTCTTTATTAACTTGATTTATTAACAGTTGGAAAATATGGCTATATCTATGCATAGTATATCTTGGGGAACAGACATCTTGTATTACTGTTTTTGTAATCTAAGACTTTCTTGTGAACTAATTATTTTTATAGTTTCAGCAGTGTAAACTTCAGGATTCTGGAAATAATATATTCTTAAAGTAATCAGATAAAGAACAATAA